AGATACACTTTCTTCATCCTCAGCGTCAGACTAGCACATCTAGTGAGGGGCTTTCGTACGTCTAAAGTTACACGTACTCTAATGCCCCCACCTTGGCCCTTAACAGATCGTTCATCAACTCTTTCCACCATCCCTGCCTTCCTTGCCAACTGACGAGCTATGTTTGCACTCCTCATCTTCTCCTTCAAACCCATCACCCTCACCCACACCTGGTAGGTATTTAACTCTACCTCGCTTGGTTCTGACCATCCATCATATGGGGCAAGCAGCACTGGACAATTCCGAAAGATCCATGGTCCTTCAAGCATAACTCCCTCCCAGTCTGCCAAGCATGCGATCTGTACAGAGAACAAGTTATCTTCTATAGCTCTAAACTCTACTTCCTGTGCCAGATTCCATGCCGATCTCATCGTTCCATAGAAAGCCCCATGACTGAATTTTCTTGAGGTATGCACCCGGGCTAGCGCCATGAACTCTGCATCCTTCTCTAGTTCCTCTATGTCTTCCTCCAAGATCACATCTTCCTCTTCTTCTTCCCTAAGATTCAGATACTTCAACTTCTCATCTAGTGATTCCTCCCGATTTGGTTTGCTCCCTCCCGCAGCCTCAGCCGCCTCCACCTCCGCTATCCGCCCCGCTTCCCCAACTATCTTTCCTCCGCCGCCATCAACTCTCGAGCCAGATGAGTTTGCCTTCGTCATCGCATCTCGCCTCCCTAGGGTTTGGTTCATCCCCTAGATGATCTCCTATGCAGGTGCCAATCACCTCTCCCGAAGACGGGATCTGAATCCGATCCGAACTCAGGGAGGGGACGTGGTCTCCTTGGCCGCCGCCGCGGAGGTAGAAAACCCTAGACGGGTACGAGACATCAGGTATATACCGGTTAGTCCGAACGTTTAGAGAGAGAGAGTGAGTAGTCCGGCGGGTCATCTTTTTTTGGTCGGGCACCCTTCTTCTTCCTTGTTGGTATGATTTGCTGCTGTTGTTTTTCTCCTTCCTCTGTGCTGATGCTGGTGGGAGATCCTGCTTTGTCCGGGCGGATGGCCCGGCCGCGGTGCTGGACTGGTCGGATGACTCGAGTTCTCTTCCTCCAGAAGGGACACTCTTCGCGGTACTCAAAGCCAAAGATGGCGACGGCTGTTGCAGGTGTGTTGGATTGATGTCCATGCCCTCTCAGCGCTGGTGTCAAGAAAAGAGGAAGCAGCATGGCGGCAATTGTACCGTGGTCGAAGATGATGACCTGCTTGCGACTGGTTGCAGATCCTTCTGTTGAAGAGGTCTTCTCTCAAGATTCAGGGATGATGACACAGGGCTCCGGAGATCTTTTTGTGTTATGATTGTCTTAGGGTACTTTAAGTGTTCATGGTCCTTTGTGTTTGCGTTTCAATGTGCTTGTAAGGGTCAACTTCTTTGTACTGATTCGTGATATGAATGAAAAAATTCTCAAAAAATGAAGTCCGGCCCGTGGATGCTCTTAGCCAACATAAATGTAGGAGCTTTTTCCCGTCAAAATAAATAGGAGTTTTTTTTTGCGGGAGCATGAATTTAGAAGCTAATGGGTTCTGCACTAGCAAATTGTCATGTCCGAGGCGGAGACACTTCCGAAGAGGATGAGCTGCAAGACGACAGTCAATAGTCCTGCTCAAGTCTTTTCTCCACTCCACTGGGATGACATGGTTGAACATATATGTGAGCCAAATGCCATCACCTATGAGGCCTTGATCAAGGAACTTTCAGTAGTTGGGGTCTTGGACTATTGGGTCCCATGCCACCCACCCGCCACCCTTACAAACCTCTGTGGCTCTGTGTACCTTGCAGATATGTTGCTCTGCATCTCCATCCGTGAGTTGATTTTTGGGTTATCGATTAATCGGATGGATTACAAAACTCCTGAAATTCTGTCATAGTTGACCAAGTTGCAACCTGTTTAGTTGCTGAAATTGGCCACAGTTGTTATGACATCAAATTTACACGGCAAGTTGGAACTGCACTAGGGCGGTGCTCTACTCTGAACTCAACCTGGCAATCGGGTCGGGTTTGGTCGGACGGACCTTTACCAGACCCATGCCCGATCATATATCGGGTAGTTCCTACGCCCACGACCCTACCCATGGGTCTGGGTCGTTTCTACGCCCACGACCCTACCCATGGGTTTGAAATCAGACCCACGCATGTACCCGTCGGGTAACCCGATCCTATTAGGCACCCGTCAGGGCGTAGTATTTCTCAATTATTTTTATTATGAAGTTGTACGTATCATGACGGTCGCGAGAAGCAGACGCAGAGCGATAAATGTGTCAACCACATCTATTTTATTGGCAGAGTTCCTCCTCCCAGGGGCTCGAGCAAGTGAGGTGGGACTAAAGGATTTAGACTCTCATTTGCAGCACATGTGTGCGCTACCGAGCTTCAATGGGCCTAATGCAGCTAGCGGTTTTGCATGGGCTACCAAACTTGGGAATTGAGAAAAGGCCTGGTTGACGGTCTGTTTGTTGTGTTTGTAGGGTAGTTGTGGCAGACTCAAAAAAAAATGTAGGGTAGTTGTGCCTCGCTATGGACCTACTAGTTGTGTCCGTCAAAAAGAAAATGGACCTACTAGTTGTGCACTTGTGCCTCGCTTTCTTTCAGTTATTGTTGCAAGAGATGTGCATTATATCTTTGTGTATTTAGATTTCAAAAAGTAAATATAATAGATAACAAATAATTTTTTAATTATTAATATTAATTGGGTCACATGGGCGAGACCCATGGACAAAGTCGACAACCCATACCTATCCATTAGGGTCGGGTGCCCATGGGCGCACCGACCCATGGGTCGGATTGCCGGGTTGACTCTGAACGGAAACCACCACAAAAACGCATTTTCTGATCCCCGTGAGTCGACCACTAACGCGTATTTTCCTTCCCCAACATGGAATACGTAACCTCGAACCCATCGCTCCAATGGCGGCTTCCTCCGCCGCGCCTCCTCCGGTCCCTATAACCAACCGGGAAACCATATGTACTAGGTAATCCTCGTCTGCTCCGTCTCCTCCCGCTCTCCAGATCCACCAACGCCGGCCGGCACCAAGTTCTCATCCTCATATTTGTTACTGGATGTGTGATTAACTCCCACTGCTTTTGGAAACTGTGATTCCTGGCCTTTTTGGTGATAATTGATTGTGCTCTCAAATATGCGCATTAATTTGTTACTGGGTGTGTGAAATGCTTATTATAGTCAATTTCTGCTGCTACTGCCTACTGCCCCTTATGTTTTTCCGCACACGGTATATACTTTGTGAACAGTTTGACTGACTGCTGTTTTACTGGATTGGCCGATTGAGGATGCGATTTGCGATTTCTCAAATCTTTGGAATTTGTGAGAAAGGCTGCGTACAAAAGACCCATCGGTCTGCCTGCCCTTTCTTTGGAATTTGCGGGAAGCCATGTAAGGTGCTGACAACTGCCGCTACAGTGCTATTGCACAACACTAGGATTTTACATTACATTTTTCTGATATGGTGCGTAGAAAATGGCTCTGATGGCAAACAAATGTTTGCTAATGCTAACCTAAGGGCTTGTATGGAGGATTGGAGGATCATATCACAACGTCCCGAATGACTCCAGCCGAGGCTCCTCTTTTGTTCCATGTTCCCCCAAATGCTCACCAGCAAACACAGAGGTACACATGTCTTATCGCATGCATCTCTACAGCTGCATTTCTTATCAACACACCCCCCCGAGGCTGTGTCTTTGAGCAGGATATGCCAATTGTCAACACAGAGACCAAGCACTCGTGGATTCTATCTTTATGTATGTAGTACTATCTAGGAGGGAGCCTTGATGATGGCTTTAGGTTGTACTACCTGTTTTGACAAGATATTCTGTGGCCAGGTCAGTGACAGTAACCAGTCTAGACACACTTGCCTTGGAGATATGATTTCTCTGCATCACAATTTAGTTAGCTTCCTTGTTGACCTGTGTGAGAGTCCGAGGTAGACAGGTAGCCATGCCGGTCAAGTCCTACACCAAATTGTGTCTGCGTTTTCAGACTTCGCTTTCTTGTTACTGTTGATAGGCTAAGGTATCTGCTTGGATTAGAATGGCTCTTAGCATTCTTGTTAGTGATTACTACTAATTAATGAAGGAAGCAAGCTTGTTCACAAATATATCTAATATATGTCAGTTTATTTTACTGTTCTCGATCTGATCAGATGCACTTTATTTTGGTAATATAAACAAATAATGGGTTCGTTTTCTTAGAAAAAAGAAGAATAAGAAAAAGAAAGAAAGAACTTCGGAAGCTCTCTAGAACTCCAGATCTATTGGCCTGAAGCATGAAGTAATGTTGCCTGCACGTGTAGAGTTTTGAGAATGGAAAAACAATTACATTGCTTGATTTCTGAAACCATGTAGAGTTAATCAGAATGGAAAAACAATTACACTGCTTGATTTCTGAAACTCTACAACTTGTTGTAGTGCTATTATTGCAGAACACCATGGTTCTGCATTTACTTGATATAGTTGTAAAGCAACATAGCTATTAGAGAAACTACTAACTGAAACAATACATATCTTTTTATGCAGGATTATGTCTTTGTACCTGCTTGTTTATTCAGTGTTGTTCTGAATTTCTCTAGTTGAGGCCTCTCTTTCTGCTCCATGCTCCCCTATTGTCATGGGCTGTGGGGCGTAAAGGTGGGGGGAACGGTTTAGGGTAGCAGCGCAGGTTATGATCATGGCTGGTAGGGGGTGAGGCTGGCCTCCTCGTTTACCCATGGCTGTCTAGAGGGGAGAGAGGGGGTGCAAGGCGCAGATAGCAGGGGAGGAGATATTGGAATTATTCTTGCATGTCTTATTGATCTACTAGTAGAGACTACATATAGCCCAGTTACAACTTGGTACTAAGAAAGGATAACAAAACAAACTCGTAACGGATTTGGAAATAGCAGGGAAACCTTCCATGGGACAAAACCATTCGGTATCCAATTCCTGTTTCCTAATAACTAGATAGTGGACTCCTAATATTGCACACTCTCCTGCTGCAGCTGCCTTGGGTCTCCTCCTGTGCTGGTAAGTGAGACCCCACACTTGAGGTATGCATCTCTGATTGCATGCATCTCTGCCGCTGCATCTCTCGTCAGTGCTCGGTCTCGAGGCTGTTGTTTCGAGCAGGATATGCCAAGCCTGAAAACTGAAACCAAGCACTCCTGGATTCTAATACTTGTGGTGTTATCATGTTGTTGTCTGTGCAGCCACATCGTTGGGTCAGCTATCTCCAAGGTTCTATCTGGAAGAGCATCCTCGACAAACTTATGCAGATCCAATGAATCTCTGAATGTGCCTTCCGTCGGGCTCCTTCCTGTAAACATCTCAAGCAGCAATATGCCAAGGCTATAAATATCACCAGGTGTTGAGACAGCAGAGCCTTCTCCGTACTCTGCAATTATGCAAAGTTTTCTGGTTAGCATTCCATATTCGGTGAAAAGTAAAATATAAAATTAGAAGAGTTTTTGTCACCTGGAGCAACATAGCCTATGGAACCTCTAATTCCAGTTGAGCTATATGAAGTTTGCATCCCCTCATTTGTATTTTCTTGAAGGATCCTTGATATGCCGAAGTCTCCAACTCGTGCGCTCATGTCTTCAGCAAGAAGAATGTTGCTTGGCTTAAGATCGCAATGGATTACACATGGTTGACAGTAGTTGTGCAGATATTCTACTGCGTCCACAATATCGACAGCAATATCAAGCCTCTGGGCAAGACCGAGCGTGTTGTTTATAGTATGCTCTTGAGATTTTGGATGAAGCCAACCATCCAAGTTACCATTGGGCATGAACTCAAAAACCAATGCCTTGAACTCTTGACCTTGGTGGTTGACGCTCGAACAAGAAGTAATTATCTTAATAAGACAACGGTGTCGTATCCTTCTCATGGCCTCACACTCAGCCTCAAAACTCTTGGAATACCTGGACTGGCCAAGATTAAACACCTTGACAGCCAATGTTCTTTCTTCAGTTTCCAAAACGCACTTATAAACCACACCATAACTTCCTCTCCCAAGCAGGTTGACTTCTGAAAATTCATTAGTTCCTCTCAATAATGCATGATAGGGGATTCTCTTGTAATGGTCATCAGCAATTGAATTTTTTGCTAATGTATTCTGGCTTGGTATGAGCTTCTTGCAAAGTATCCAAACCAGAAGAATAATTGACAGTGACAGCAAGATTGCTCCAGCTATTGCTAGAGAAATTACAAGAGGCTTTGGCATCTTTTTTCTGTTCTTGCTTGAGCGGTTTGTGGGGCATGGAGCCAAGTGAAGTTGAGGTGTACCACCACACAAATTGATATTCCCACCAACTGCTAAGTAAGTGATGTTTCTGAAAACACCTTCATCTGGCACCTCGCCTTGCAGATTGTTGCAGGATACATCCAATTTGTACAGTGATGTCAAATTCTTTAGAACTGCGGGGATTGATCCTGAAAAGTTGTTATGTGCTAGGTACAGTTCCTGTAGATTTCCAATACTGCCAAGGGCCTCAGGAATATTACCAGAGAGCTTATTCATGGTCAGGTTCAGTTTGCTGAGCCCCTTTATATTCTTCAGTGACTGAGGTATGCTTCCTTCGAACGAGTTATTGTCTAATAATAACCATACCAACACTATGCAATTCTCAATACTGTCGGGTATTTTGCCAGACAACTGGTTTCCTGATAGAATCAATTGGTTAAGATTTGCCAAGCTACCAACTTCATTAGGAATGGGTCCAGAAAGGGAATTATATGACAAGTCCAAGTACCAAGAAAGGCCCGGCAATTTCAAAATTTCTCTGGGTATTGAACCATTAAGCCTGTAGTTCGTTGACAGATCGAGTACAAAAAGTTTTTTCAACTCCCCCAGGCTTGCTGGAATTGGTCCCTCCAAGTTGCCATAGTATGCATAAAGGGTATTCAACTGCGAAAGATTTCCTAGAGATGGTGGTATGAGGCCAGACAAGCTATTGTTGTACAAGGCTAGCAAAGCCAAGTCTCCTAGCTTTCCAATGCTGTCTGGAATCACTCCAGATATGAATGTATTTGCTATTGCAAGCCTGTTAAGACCAACCAAATTGCCGATGTCTGCAGGAATACTTCCAGAGACCCTACTGTCCATTAAGTATAAGGCCTGGAGAGTACTAGAGAGGTTCACAATCGATCCAGGTAGTTTTCCTGCGAAAGAGTCTCCTCCGAGTTGCAGTTTCTCTAGCTGGCTACAGTTTGCCAGAGAAGTGATGAATTCCCACCCCTTGTTGTCATTTGCTTCAAGCTTATTGCCAGCCAAGTTCATAGATTGGAGAGCTCCTAGCCTTCCGAAAGTGGGAGGCACATACCCACTAAATCTGTTCTTATCGAGGAAAAGATCTATGAGGGAAGATAGATTGGATATTGAGGAGGGAATGGTTCCTGTGAAGTGATTATAACTCAAGCCAAGACCTTTCATCTTGGGAAACTTGCGGCCGATATCATTCAGAATGCTTCCATATAGGCTATTGCGCCCGATCCAAAGAGATTCCAGTGAAGACAAGTTGTAGAGAGAAGGTGGAAGCATACCAGAGATGTTGTTTGTGGACAGTAGTAATGTCTGCATGCTCTGCATGCTGCCTATCCCTGGTGGGATTGAGCCCATGAGCTGGTTATGGGAGAGATCCAGGAATTGTAGATAGGACATGTTGGCCAGCGATGCCGGGATGGGCCCTGTGAAGCTGTTGTCCCTGAGCGAGATTTCAGTCAAGAAGACGAGTTTTTCGCCGAGCTCAGGCGGGATGCGCCCCCAAAGCTTGTTGTGATGAAGTTCCATTATTTTCATGCCGACACAGGAGCTCAGGTTCGCAGGGATTGTGCCGGAGAAGGAGTTGTCGTTCAAGTAGAGTTTCTGCAGGCGGTGGAGGCGACCGAGGCTCGCGGGGATCTCCCCTTTCAGCTGGTTGAAGCTCAGGTTGAGCGTCCTCAGGAACGTGAGGTTCCCAAGGTCTGGGGAGAGCGATCCGGTGAGGCCGGTGCCGTTCAATCTGAGCGCCACCACCCGCGCCGGCCTCCTCCGGTGGCTGCACGCCACGCCTTCCCAGCTACAGTAGACAACACTGTTGTTCCAGGATGCCAGCGATCCGCCGTCGCTGACCTGCGCTTTGAAAGCAAGCAACGCGGCCTCATCGCCGGCGCTCACAAGAGCGATCATCAGGACAGCAACAAGTGATGATAGCAAGCTCATGGCAGTGACCCGTATTGCTGTGTCCCTCTTGCTTGATTGGTTTGGTTCTCAAGTAGCATTTGCCTGTTCCATATATAGTTGCTTCCTTTTTATCAAAAAAAAAAAAATTGTATACTTGCTTGGTTGGTCATGGTCGTGTACTCGTGTTGCAGATGCTTTTATAATATTTCAACAATGCCTAAATCACTATTTATATTGCTTCGCTTTCATTTTACAGAAATGATGTAGACTGATCCTCTGTTTGACATCTTGGGCAATGACTAGATCCCAAACTTAGTTGCAGACTTTTCCAGATCGTTGGCCATGGCTGCCAAATAGGAGAATGTCGATCAGCAGCAGCATGACAAATATAGTGATAGGATGGTTTTAGTCGGTAAGTGTAACCCTGTTTCAGGAGGTAAATATGATAGGATGGTAAGTTGGTAAGTGTAATGTTATGTCCCTTTGTAGCAACAGGATTTGTATCTGAGTTTGGCTGCTCAGTTTGAACTTTCAAGTCCAGTGGGTAGAATGGAGAATCCACATACCGGCATTCTGGCGCCCACCCGGCTTGTCCTTCGGAGTTGACTATCCATGGCTTTACTTGGTCATTTGAGCTTTGATTGTTCCTGTTAGAGGTGATGTGCTAACAGCATTCCATTCGTCAGCAAAGGCTTATTCCTATTAGAATGTCGCTGACAGATTGGTATTATCAAAATCTCCAACTTGATGCAGAGTTTTCCAGGGCGTCGACCATCCGTCAGCAAAGGCTGCTACCATGTGGGGATATAATATACCGGCAAGACTTGATCGTTTGAAGAAGTTGGTTTTGACTGCAAGTCGGTTTAATCTTCCAGTCTTGCTTCCCTTTGTGCGACTTCAACAAGTATGTGTCTGACTTTGGCTTGCTCACCTTGACCAGTATTCAGCAGCTGCACTGAATTTGCCGTTTTCCTGGAAGCTCTGTGGCTGCTTACGAGGGATGAAAATTGTGTGCGTGCTATCAGTAGTTCCGCGCGAGTATTCTTCAATTTTTGACAGAATTTGAATTTCCCAATTGCTAAGAAGTGACATGGGCTGTCTCTATCGTGGGCGCGTGGATTGAAGAGACATCATTATAATTTTTGGGTGGATGACCCTCCAAAATTTAATTGTACCTCTCTTGATTGAGGATGTAACTGTCATTTCAGCTGCATGTTGATGTTAAAAAAAATGTAGAGCGATAAATCATGAGTGGACATGCAGCCACGCGAGGTCGTTATCAAGACCGACCGTTTCCGCGCGATTCGTGCAGCTCTAATACATCGAGTCTGTATAATAAATTTCATCCAGGGTATACAATTAGTGCAACTCTTGTATTACTTCTGACCTTACCAGGAGATGGCCCAGAAGGCAGACTCGCGCATTGAAGACGTGCGTTGATTAACATGTCAGTCCAAATGGCCAGCTGCACCACAATAACTACATTGATCCATGCTACTCCCTTCGTCCGGTGAAAAGTGTACATCTAGAAATTTTAGGATAAATTATGGAGTGGAGTAAAAAATGCATTGAGAAGATGCAAGCCACCATCTCTCTCCTCTTTAATTACCCAACCCCCAATGAACTAAGTGCATGTAGAAATTAAGAAGACTATGTATAGAATGCTATTGGTCTTGATTACCGTGTGATGAGAGAAAATACTTTAAAGTCCATTGGGAAGATAGAAGCACACTCTTTTGTGGACCAATTTTAAACCCAAACATACACTCTTTACCGGACGGAGGGAGTACTTGATTAGAAGATGGTTGCGGAGCATGTCGTTTGAAGCGTTAACTACATTGAAAGAATGCACCCTGTCCATAATCACACTAGCTCTCTCCATCCAGCATTGTTCAATTTGGAAAATGAGGTATTTTAGTTTCGTCACTTGTTTCGGACTACTGATTTAAAACTCATAATTATATGCATCAATTTTTGACTGAAAAATCACTGAATCACAAAAAATAGAATCTGATTTTTGACTAGCTCTCTCCATCCAGCATTGTTCAACTTGAATCACAAAAAATAGAATCTGATTTTAAAATGCAACGTTGATACAAAGTCAGAATGTCAATTAAAAGATCAGGCAACATTAAGTTAAAATACTTTTACATAACTTATAGGATATTTGAGACATCACCAATATGAGAGAACGATTTGTTTTTTGACAGCTTCGGTTTTGATCTCAGCTTCACAAGCATACATGTTAACCAAAAATTACGGTTCCCATTTTTGAACAAATTAGAGACATCAAAACCAACTCGACACATTTCTAATTGAACTTACAATATGAAAATATCTACGAGATGCATTTAATTACCTGAATATATGGGAGAAAGTTTTTCATGGTTGCAGCTAAATTCGTGTGCTTAGTCGATCTATTAGTAATATGTTAATAGGTAAATTAGGACTAACCATCATACAAGTGTGTTTAATCATCAGTGTGCCAATTATTAGCCATGTAATATCTTGGGCTAGTTAGCATATGAGTATTACCATACACTAAACCATCCGGTTTGTCATGAAACAGATGCTATGAATAAAGCTTCTTGTACTAGCATTATTCCATTGATGCATCTGCCAATTGATAGGTGACACATTAATACATAGACTTGGCCACCTAATAACAATTGCCATAAGGCTGGTCATAGTGGTGAGTAACTTGAACTAGTAACATGCATATGATACTACTCTATGTTACTACCTTTATAGTGGGTAGTAACATATGGATGGTAACATGCAAGTCTTCATTAATTAAGATATAGATTTATTTTACCTCGGAGTGTGTTATGTTACAGTAACATATTATGTTACCACTGTGAAGGATCGATTGTAAACGAACAAGAGAGTCGAACAAATGAATCAAAATATACTTTTCCATTGATGATTGAACACTTATATACAGGGGAACGGGCGCATCCAAAGGATGCGACGGTTCAGAAGGCGGTTCCTGGAGGCGACGCTCCAGGAACGATATGCCGGTTCCACATCAGGGAGATATCCACGTGCGGTTACAAGTAGATATTTGAATTAACTAATTAAATTAATTAATTAAATTATAACACTCCCTCTAATCTTTACTTGTCCTTGAGCGTGTTCATCATCTTGAAATAGCCTCCTCTAAAACCCTGTAGGAAAAATATGAGGAGTAGTGTAGGATATGTTGGTAAAACTCCTTCAAACCCAGTGGGAAAAATAAGAAGAAAAATATTCCAACATATAGTGATTATTGCCTCTGTCAACTCGATATGAAGTATATCCATAGAATTTGGAGGACAATAAATATGTTGTATATACTTTCCTAAAAACCCCGATGGGGAAAACGGATAGTATGAGAACCTGTAAAGCAAACTTATAAAGGGAAAAAGAGTGTAATATGATGCTTTGAACAGGAATAGTTCAGAAAGATACCCCCCTGACTCTTGCAAATTCCAAATCCGTCACATACCAATTCCATGAACATGTTTCTGGAATGTAAAAGCTGGTAGAGACTTGGTGAATAAACAAGTTGCATGATTTGACTTGCAAGATATGCAATATAAAGATATTGCTTATTAGTAACCTGTTTGCATCCGGGCAACACAAGCAACATTATCTTTGAGATAATGGTTGGTGGATGTAACCATGATGTCTGATTTGAAGACTCTTCATGGAAGGGCTATCACACCTAGTAGGAATACTAATCTTGTCTGCGATCTGACATAGTGGGGATCTGATCAATGCATGTATCCAATGATATCGGTGTTCACATTTCTGTGAGACCGAAAACCCAAGACGAGATGTTTGATGCCTTGGAGATATCGAAAGATATTCTTGAGTACCAACCAATTGTGTTTGGTGGATCCAATGACATTATGGAACGTTGAGTCCCAATATCTCATTTCCATCATCTCTTGGTCTAAATAGATCTTGCTCTATGTCTAGAGAATGAACTACCATGAGAGTTATTGATGGATAAGATTTGTCCACTATGAATTTCTCCAATATATTATGGATATAGACAACATAGTATACCATAATGTATGAATGAAAGTGCTCAAGTTGTAGTAACGAGCGGTATTTTGGTTTACCCAAATCCTTCATTTTAAACTCCGTCATTTAGATGATTACATGTGTCGTCATTGCAGACACACAAACATGGATAATCATCGTTGTAGGAGTAATCCTTGTGTATGAGGATTTCACTACATCAGTTGTACCATATGTGACGACAACAATAATAAGTCATATGGTGACTTATTGATTTTACACAATGTATGTTGCATTATGTATTTCGATTTATAATTGAGGTTCCGCCGGGAACCATCTATATCTGAATCTAGTGATCTAATGGATATGTAATCGCTACATCTATCAACTGCAGAGATAGATGATTTTGAACTGCCAATGATATAAGTTATCGAAATGAGATTCCACCTCTGGAGAATAGTTAGGTATCTGCGTGAACCCTTGTGCTGCAATGCTTTCTCTTTGTTTTACCACCTCATTGTTCTCAATTTTGTTTCCAGAAGAAAATTGGTGTAGGTATTGCTTATGAATACCTTCCCGTTATTGAGCAAGATCATTTCTACCTAGATTATACCCTTTGCTTGAGTTCAGTCCGAGTGTTCACTACTAGGAAAAACCTTACCAGTAGCATGGGTTTTTGGACTACCAGTAGCGTAGGTTCCCACGCTACTGCTATGACGCTACAACTATTTTTTAGCAGTAGCGTGTGTTTTACCCCACGCTACAGCTAAAAATTTAGTAGTAGCGCGCCCAACCCACGCTACTACTATTCCTAACCCACGCTACTACTATTCCTAAGTACTAGTACAATGCCCTTATTCCCCCATGCTACTGCTAAGTAATAAAAAAATAAAAAAAATAAAAGTTAGATGAAATATTTATGGATGGAAATCGAGACACATCCAGTGCAAAGGTCACAGAACCATCTTAGCACTTACATTCTTAGCACTTGCAGCGTTCATGTATACAACATTGAAAATCTCAACTCAAAG